CCACTCAGAGAAGGATCTATATAAATATAATTGCTTTTGTTGCAGCAAGAGAGTCCTGTTGAATAGCTTCTTTGCATGTCTTTCTGTATTTTTCTAGGGCTTTAGAAGATTTTCAGTGAACAGGTGTTGTGTACTGTGAAAGTGACTAGGTTAGGGCATTTGTGGGAAGTCAAGGGATTTAGTGTGTCATAATGACCCTGATGAAGCCATGCCATATGGATCTGCTCATCTGCGGAAAGAAGCTGTGTCCCACTGCAAGTGAAGCAGGTAGGTTTGGTATAAGACCTTCAGAAGGCCTAGATTCTAAACTGATGGAAATTTCTGTTATTCTTTGGCAGACTGTGTGATCATAGATCCATGGAATGGTTTGGATTGGAAGAGACCTTAAGATCATCAGCTTCCAAGTCTCTGCCATGGCAGAGGCACCTGTTACTATGTACCAGGTTGATCACAGCCCCATCCAACCTGACCTGGGACACTTCCAGGGATGTCCTCAACTTCTCTGGGCAACCTTTTCCAGTACCTCATCACCCTCACAGTAAAGAATTTCCTCCTGATATCTAATCTAAACCTGACTTCATTTAGTGTAAAGTCATCATCCCCTTGTCCTAACACCACATACACATGTAAAAAGGCCCTCTCCAACTCTTTTGTAGACCCCTTTAGGTAGTGGGCTGCTTCTGGATATCTCCCTTGGAGCCTTCTTTTCTCCAGGCCAAATACTCTCAGTTTCTCTCAGCACAGGGGAGGTGCTCCAGCCCTCTGATCCTCTTTGTAGCCCTCTGGACTCACTCCAACAGGTCCCTGTTCTTCTGATGGGAGCCCCAGAGCTGCATGCAGTAGTCCAGGTGGGGTCTCAGGAGAGTCAAGTAGAGGGGGAGAATCACGTCTCTCAACTCACTGTATGCATCTCATTTTTTTGTCAGATGCCTCCTTTTCTACCCTTCATTTGACTTGTTTATTTGGGTGATATAACTATTAAATTCTCTGTTGTCTGGACAACAGCTTGTTTTTGACAACCTTGATGTTAGCCTGTAAGCATTGCTGTAACATATGCAGCCAATTTACAGAGAAGTAATGGCAAGAAGGTAAAAGAAGAGGAAAAAATCTTAATGCAAAAATACATGAAAGAGCAAGACACCATTGTCTATGCATGTGTTGGAAAACCAAGGTTTCTGTATGTTAAGTTAAAAGTTTTCTTATTAATATCTGGAATTTCAAAGGATATCCTGATATAATGTCCAAGGCTTCATGCTGAGAAAATGACAAATCTATTTTTTTTCCTAAAAGCAGTATCAGTTGATTCTGTAAGTAAACACGTTCCTTTTGCTGCAGTGGTATAATTCTTTGTATCTACTTTGCTTTTAAGGAAAAGAGTTTTTAACTCCATGATAATACTGATACACAATGCCTGATCAGGACAAAAAGTTGAAGAGCACAGAAAAAGCAGTAGAAAAAAAAGCCTCCTGGGATCTCTATGAGGTATGGTATCTAACATTTTACTTTGAACTTCAGCAGGACTTGTGTGGAATTTACACTGTCTGCCAAAGCAGAATGCTTCAATTTGAAGTGCAGTATAAACATGACAACTGTTACTCTGGTCACAAAGTTTATTTACACCTTTGTTGATTTAAGGCATTCTGGAGAAGCTGTAAATTCTTCTGTATGTAAAATGTGGACACCAGGCAACACTAGAAAACTTTATTTTCTGTCAGTAGCATTGTTGCTTATTGACTTTCTTTACACTTATGGAAATACTTTTATGTAACCATTAACACATGCTGTTGTGTTTTTTTTTCCCAGTGATTATTGTGATCTAAAAAGGTTTCAGTCTCTCTTAAGTGTTCAGTCAAGGAATCAACAGGTATTTTTCAATAACTGTTATTAAATGTGCTTTAGAATTATAATTAATGGTTATTATGGTTTCTGGCATGTGTTTAGAACATTGTGTACTATAATGACTAAAGCATGTTAGCAAAATCTTGGGTAGTGGATGTCTTCCTTCTTGTCTCTTTCTCTTTTTTCTTGGCAACATTAGACCTGTGTGGGACAAATCACATTTAGAATGGGTAAAAGAGTGAAACTTCCCATTCTACTATACCATATTTTTTTATTTTAATAGGAAAATTCTTTATTTTGTATCTTGAGCAAGTTTCATCAGCTATTGTTGCATATATTAAAGTAGCCTAGCAAATTGTTTTTCCTCTGTGCTCTTTCTCAATGTCACACAAAGGTAGACTTAAAGATGTGTGAGTAACAGCATGGGGGAGAGTAGTAAAGAATATAAAATAAGATCAGCATTTTAACCATAAACAATTTGTCTTTGAAGAACAACACTTCAACTAAAAATATCCAGGGCTTAAATACCAACTTACAGGAGAAAGTCAAATCTCCTTCACCTCAACTCACTTAGTGAAGCTTGTATTTGCCATTTGAAGCAAAGAAAACCAATAGATGATGATGGGCGTGTCTTTGGAATCACAGAACATTTTCTCCCTTTCAATTCTGTAAAAAGATATGACAAAATAACTAAAGCATTCATCCATGTGAGGTAGGAGTTATGCACTTTCTACCTGGTTAGAGGCCTGGAATTGCTTCTGAGCAGAAAGCTGAAACATGTGAGTTGTACAGCCTGAAAGAATGTGAAGGCTGTGCAATTGTGGAATTGAGAGAGGTAAGAAACACAGATAATGAGCATATGTTGCAGATTTTGTTGGGCTTTGCTATCATAAATTTAAAAAGGCACCATTCTTCACCTTTTACTTAGCTCTCCGTACTTGTTTTTCAGTCTTGCTTTGCATCAGGTTTCTACCATGTCAGTTTTGTTTTCCACAGGAGGTATGTGTTTACTATAATAGCAAATTTTAGGTCCAAAGTGCAAGTCAGAGCGTGAGAAAAGGTACTTTTGCGTGATAATATTCTCAGAAAACTTAAAATGCAGTGTTTGCCTCATGACTACTATCTATTCCTTCCTTAGCTTCCAGCTATATACATTGAATGTGGTCAAACCAGTGTGACAAGAACTTGGCAAAATGTCAAAAGCAGTGAACAGAAGTCTAATGGTCAATGGCAAGAATCAACAGAAGCTGTTGAGCTTGAAAAATTCAGGTAAAAATAATTAAAAGCTGATGATGACACTCATATCCATGAATATGAGATACCTTTATGTATCTAAGGGTATCACCTTGTTGAGGTATCGAAGGCATTTGTATTTTTATGTATGTCTGTTACTTGTACTTTTCCTGTTAATCCAGTATTTGAGATGAGAATTACATACTTTTAATTTTTTAAAATTAATTGTTTATGTTCCTGCCTTTGTAAGTTTCAACCTTTCCCACTCAGCAGAGTGTACTGGTGAGGGTTAAAAAACTCATTTTAAATAGTGATAGTTTCTTTAATTGGAAAAGTTATACCACTCTGACAGTCCCAAATTATGCAGTAGACAGACTGTTAATGTCTGGCAATCTGAAATCATGTTATTCTGTGATAACTGCTGATACAACATTTCTTAGTTTTTGTTGCTAATGTTAAGTCGTAGCACAGCAAAACCGTCTTATGGCAAGTTAATGTGCAATTCACCATTTTTCTTTTTTTCTTCCTTTCTAGTGTGACCCACAAGAATGAGAGAAATTTTAACAAGCATCCCAAGCGTCAGCTGTTTTAAGATATATTTACAACTTTAGTTAAGGTCAGACTTGCCTGCAGACCAGTATATGAAACACATCCATAACCAAGAAGGAAGGCCACTCTTTCTTACTTTCTATGAAGAAGCAAGATGCATGGATAGTATCCCATATTGTTACAATTACACACCTTTCTGTGGAAATTACCAGCAGCACTTGTAGTTGTTTTAAATAACCACTTGTGTATTGGCTTTGAGGAGCAATGCCCTGGTTGGTGGGACAGACCAAGGAAGGACTGGGTATATGATAAAACTTGCATGACCAAAATTCTAACTGCTATGTTTTCTTGATCATTCATCTGTACATTCATCTGTAATCTATGACTTGCTTTTCTAATTTATTTTACTGATTCTATTTGTATTTTATGGACTGCTGCCTTTATAGTGAAAGGCCAATGGTTTCCATAAAATTCAGATGATTGATGCCAGTTGTTTGTGTTTATTTGTATTTCTGTGTTATGTGAGGAAAAAGTACAGGACCTTACAAATATCGAGGGGATAGAGAAAGATATTTTCAGGGAAAAGAAGATATATTTTTCAGGATTTTTTTACTATACTTCTTTGCAGTGTATCGTATTTTCCTTTTTTAAAGCCCAAATACACGTTCTCAAAAATGCACAGAAGTTTAAAGATGGAATCCTAGAGCATTTAAAGGTATTAATATATAACTACTAGGGGATTCTAAACCACATAGTTTACTTAGACCTTTATTCAGAACCAACTGGAGAACTAGGGGTTTCTTTGATTATCTAAATGACAGTGAGTTTAAAACAGATTATTTCAGTGATTTTTAAATCTGGTACCTCTTTTTTTCATGGGAACTCAGTACTCACCAGTGGGAGGTCGGTGGCTCAGTTTCATTTGCCAGAAATCCAAGAATAGCTTACATTGTGATTTCCCTAGTTCTGTTTATACACTCTGACATATTTGGCTTATATTTTGGTTTTCTTTGGTGGTTCTTTGTGATAGCAATATGGCAAAACATGCCTCATGTATTAGGAATGAAAGCACCCAGGCAAGGTTGATGAAACAAGCATAAGTTAGTAGATATGTAGATAAGATGGAATATACCCTGGTGTGTCTAGTAGTGTGTATTGTAAATGTAACTGTAGTAGAAGGGGATCTCAAATGTTAATTAGGCTCATATCCATGGTAATGGATATTACCATGTCCACCATGGTAATATCTTCAGGCCACTTTAAAATCTGACCTAAAAATTTTGCACACAGGTATATGGTTGCTCTTTTCTTTCCATGAAATTTTTGTGCTCTTCTGAAGTGGCTAATTATGGAATCATAATGAAAAATGGTATTATTTTGGGCAGAATATTGACATAAAAGGGCTGAGAGTTTGTTAGTATCTATTTGTAAAACATTTATTTTTATAAAAGTATTTTTAGCTATTGGCGTCATTCCCAACTGCAAATGATGAAATGGGAAGAGAACTGCCATGACCCGTGCACTTTTTCTGTTTCCAAGAAACTTATCCAAACAAATTTTGTTCTCTCAGTTAAAACAACAACAAAAAACCACATGGCAAAGATGTCTAATTTTAGGCTTATTTTAAATAGGGAAATGGGGGTATATACTTACAACAGGCAATGGAAATAGTGATTCCATTGCTGGCATTTTATGTGGGATTACTGCCCCTGGACACTTTCTGCAAACCTGATTTGTATTTTCTGCCATATCTTATGCTGGTGAATCATATGGAGAAATATAAAGGAGGAAGTTCTATATGGAAATACAATCCTATTTCAAGAACACTTAAACTAAACAACAATTTATTTCCAACATAATAGAATTAGAGCCTTTAAAAGCCAGGATAGATTATGATAATTCAAAAGAATATTTTAAATACAGCTATTTTTACTTCTGTAGCACTCATATTTTTGCATAAGTGTATTTTGTGCGCTGAAGTTTGCTCTGTGCCTTCTCATTTACTTTACTTTTTTGGGCCTCAATTCAACCACTAAAAGTTTATATCAAAGCGCAGTTAGTTTGTTCTTAGAGATGAGTATGTTCTTTCCCCTCATCAGTCCAGTGATAATAAGTGATGGCTGGTAATGCTCATATAATGTAATAAATTTATTTATAGCTGCTACTGTGTTTGAATATAAATGGTATTAAAAGTTCTGTGGTATAGTATGTTGAACAGTTTTTGTAGCTCACTAATCATCTAGTCAAGTGATCCTGAATCAAACTGCTTTATTTATGTATTTAAACACTTTTAAAATTGCATTTGGTTTATATTTTGAATATTTAATTTAGAGGCAATGGGTTAGTCAAGCTCCGTCCATCTATTTTCTTAGAGTATCAATCTGCCTGAGATTATTAATAAGGGCATCATGCTACCAGGTCAGTTTTTAAAAATATTGTTTCTTGCTTGGATAAGGGGATGCATGTAAGTGTCATGTGTACAAGCTGTGTTGGTGTTTGTGTGTAAAAACGTTTGTTCTTATGAATGCAGATGTACATATTTGTATCTATATTTCTATATGTGAGAATGGGAATTGTAAATAAACAGATTTCAAGAATGGTTTTACACCATTGCTGCATAATTTGCTCAATCTCTGTTATTTCTTATGTTACGTCTGTTGTTGCTGACCCTAGCAAAGAAACTGTAAATCTCCATAACAGATGGCTTGGTCATTGCTCTGAGGCCTAGGCTTGGTATTTGACTTTATCATAAAGATATGTAAAATTCCTATAATATAGTTACTGAAGGAAAAAGATCTTTTAACATTTCACCTCTTGTGTTTTTATTTATCTACTTATGATAAGTAATTCTGAACTAATTTTTTGGTGGGTTTTTTTTTTTTTTTTTTTTTTTTTTTTTTTTTTTTTTTTTAATTTTCCTGTAGGAAATGCTCCACAGTCTGGGTGGAATTGAAAATCTAGCTCGGGTAGAATTCCTTGTAGTACCTTTGTTCATTATGTTGTCTGTCAGTTTATTATTATTAGAATGATATAGACTGTAAAAAGCAGTGTGCAGATCTTTTGGTTTATAGAAAGAAGTGAGTCTGTTTCTCTGTTTTCACTAGTTTTGAAAACAACTGTCCTATAGTCTAGCTGCATTTATCTAGGATTTGTAGTTAGGAGACTTAAATGCCTCCTGAAGTGGGAGAAGAATTAGAAAAGTCAACATTTCTTTTGGTTCAGTCAAAAGAAACTGTAGACTTTTGAAGGGAGATGAGGAAAGTCATCCTGCACTGTAGCAAATGACTTTGCAAAGGGAAAAGCACACTGATAAAATAAATGGGGTTTTTTTCAATATCCAAGCAGGTTTAAACCTTAGGACTACACTACTATTGAATTACAGAATATTTTTTCATGAAACAGATGCACCACCTACAGGCTCTACCTGTGTAGAGCAGTCTAGGTTTATGAAGTCTGAAAACTTTTTTTTCCTAATGGTATCCTTTATTTTTCCTCCCCTACTTGTAGTACATGGAAACAGCAGCAAATCATTGTCTTAATTACAGAGAAGAGCAGCATAATGTAGACAAGTTGGTCATGACATGTAAGTGCAGTAGCTGATAACATAAATGATAAGGCTACTCACAACTTTTGGTGTGAGGCTTAAAATACTTCAGGTGGTTGTTAAGATAGTATTTTCACTGTAGGCATCATCACATGAATAAAAGCTAAATTCCTGTAGAAGGTAGCAGCTTGTTTTTCTACATAAGTAATGTTTATTTAAGAAATTAGTATCTTTTTATGTATTGAAATAAAAGAGTAAATTGAGCTAATTATGGTTCAAAGAATTTATAGTGTTTTCCTCTGTTATATGACTGATAAAATAAAAATATTAGTGAGAAAATGTGTGTCTTCCTTTGTTCCACAGATATTTTCCAAAAGCTTTCTGCTGTTAGAAATCAAAGAGTGAGTGCTGTTGGAACTCAACAAATGAGTTTTAGCAAGTGGAGCACATAAATAAGTGCTTTATAAAATTGCTAGTTTTGTTTAATTAGCTACCTAATAGAATAACACATGCTTTTCAGATTTGACCTAGGTGGGACTAAGTTTCTTACCTTGTCAGGCTTGTAAAGTAAAATAATCTCTGTTTTACAAATGTATTAATAGTATCATAAAAATAAGTTCTTCTCTGTAAGTTACTTGGTCTGATGTATGATTATTGGCTGTTTGAGATAAATAGATTGCAAACATTTGGACTAAACATTTGTTCATATAAAAAGTAGCACTCATGTATACACTGTCCTGAGCTACATGTTACTATGATTCAAATAGCTTTGTATACTTTTTAAATGTAAACATATTTAAAAGTTTTCTTACACAAATTTCTGGTGTGGTTTTTCACTTGCAAAGTATTCTGTATCTAAATATTCTGTATCAACTCAGACATCCCTTGCTATACATTACGATCAGTCTAAGAATCTGTGCTTGACTATTGCTGGTTTGTGGCTAAACTGAGATCCAAATTAGTATATTAGTTGAGATCCAAATTAGTATAACTAGGTTTTCATGATTCTATCATGCTGCAGAAAAATAATGGTAATTGTAATCATATAGTATCAGACAACCTAATTTTAGAGAATCTAGACAAATACGGAGTTTATTAATCATGAGCAGAAATACAGGCAGGGCCTTAAATTACTATGCTGTTTAACTATAAGCTGAATATTAACTTTTTACTTAAGGAGGTCTAATTTCAAGTTCTGAAGTGTTACACAAACACAAATTTTTACAGTGGTGTAATAGAGATACTTTAGTATTCAAAGAGATACTAATTGTAGTTTGAGAAGAAACATCCTTGCTTGTCCTACTGAGTATTGTACTGTATTCTAAGATTTTAGGTGTATATTTAAGTGTACTTTAAATGTATCTAAGACTTTTAACATATTGTGTAAGGATTTGGTATCTTAATTTTTACTTTTCAATAAATATTTATATTCATGTTTGAGTTTTAAAATAAAACAATATACTTTATATTTACACAGAATCATACATTCACTTAGCTTGTTTCAATTTTTTTCCAGACCCTAGTAAATTTGTTATCTGCCACAGACAGCCATAAGTTTTTTGGTGCTCTTCTTCCCCTGACTAGCTCAGCAGAATGGTAAGTTCAACTTAATGTGCTATAGTTAACAAAATCTTTTTAATGTTTTCCCTTGACTCAATGCTATTTTTCATGAGGAAAACTTAAATGTTTTTAATTTTATATAGAAGCAGTAGAAACTAAATAGAAACATTGGTCCTGGCAGCAGACTTCTTGTTCATGTGGATGGCTCTGCAAGACTGGAATCACAGAATCTGTCTTTGCAATCCTCATCCAGGATTCTGGAATTTCTACTGACTTCCTACATATAAAAATCTTTTGTTCTCATCTTAATATAACAGTGCCTCACAATAATCTGGTAGAATATTGATCAGCGTAGTAAATTATGAACTCATACAGCTAATCCATGTATATGTGCCCTCTTCTCATTAATTAGTGGTTAAATAAAGATAAAAAGGGGAAAAAACAGCAAAAAGGGGGACAGAGTAACTTTCATCTATTATATCTATTATAGGAGAAAAACTACTATTATTGATCTGCTGTCTCCCAGACTTCCCAAAACTCTGATTCAGTTTAATTTGTTTTTAATGTCTGTGTTAATTTAAATGATATTTTACATACATTTTCAACTTCCATTTAACTTTCTTCATTGAATGTAATGTAGGATTTTGTGTTATATTTGGACTCGGCAAGAAAGAGTTTGGAGTATATTACAAATGTTCATAGAAATTGTGATTGTTTTTAAAAATATACTCCATTTTCTTAATTACCAGTAAGACACAAAATATAGTTGTGTCCTTATTTTTGCGCATCCACATTTACTTTTATTTTGTATTGGGAAAACTGGAAAATTGTTGCACTGTTTCTCTTGACCCAGCACATATTTGTGGCTTTAAGTGCTTTTGTGCACAATTTTTGTGCACAATTTGATATTATTACTTAAGACTTGGGGGAAAAAAAAATCATCAAAAGAAGGAGGCTAAAGAGCAACGTGGGTTTTTCATATAATTTCCTCTGATATAAATGCCAGGAATAATCAGTTTGTAGTCCAGAATGTAGAGAGATGATAAACGAGATTGTTGAGAACTTGCTGGTGATATTACACGAACACGATTTTCTCTCTAGCATGTGAGACTTTGTGTGTGGATTAATTATGTTAAAATAAATTTTAACTTTTTTGTTTAGGGATGTGTGTATTTAGAGGAATTAGAAAATGTGCCACTTGAATATACCCAAGGTCAAATTCTGATACTTGTGTATTTTCAGTCATATACTGATGCAGCCAAATCTTTTCCAGCAGTTTCTTTGTAATCCATTTCTCTCTGCACTGATGGCCTCCAGTGCAGATGAGTTGCAATGTTATCATAAAGTGAACAGTCACTTTTCTGGGTGCATCTCTTTGTTGCTCCTGGCAGACCTGAGTGGTTAGATGGAAAGCATGCTGAGCCCTGAGTTCCTGGGATCCCTAGTATAAACTAGTAAAATTGCAAGACCTAGAGCTGCTGTAGTTTATGCCAGAGGCTGAACCAGATCCCACATCCTCTATATTAGAAAATCATCAATGTTCCTTCAATTATTTAATCATCTCAGCTAAGACTGATAGCAAAGCATTACTGAATTTCAATGAGAAGCAGAAAGACTTTCAAATTTGATAATACATCACTTATCACCTTTAAAATTCGGAAGAGGTTTTTAAAATTTCATGCTTAACTATTTCACACATATAAGGTCACTTATATGTGACTAAAAATAGAAAAATTAATATAAGAAAAGGTTTTGTTTAGTTTCTGGGTTTGAAAATTCTCAGTTATATGTCAATCAAAAGTTAGATGCAAGAGTTAGAATTTGAATGTAGACAGGAAGATGAAGTTCAATGCCAGTTAAGGATTATTTTAAATTCAGATATGAATCTGAATTCACATGTTTCATTAAACACAGATGGAGCTTTTTTGCTTTTTAAGTGGAATTGGATATCCTTAACCATATTTTCTATGAGAAATCCACCTTCATTGCAGTTAATGAAAGTCTTATATAAACCTTTTAAGGTATACATCCAACCCCCTTCTTAATATAATATTCAAACTATACTAGAGAAGAATGATGCATTTTTGTATTATCTGTGGAACTAGGCTATTTGAGTTCCACAGATGAACTTTACAAGCTCATGCAGTCAGTGCTATTTGTACTATTAATGCCATTAATAAGAAGATGATAGCACAGATGACTGCAGCCCACCTGGCTACCTCCCATCCTGGCTGGGTATGCCTGGTTGCCTCTGCTGGCAGCTGAACTCAATATAAATATGATTTCATCCCATTGTGAAAGTTTGGACCATTGTCTTCTTTTGTCTTTTAAACAATGACTTTAACCAGGTTGCAGTGACTTTAAATTGTTTTCTTTAACTTCTTTTATTTTTTTTAATAGGACATCTCTGTTGTTTTTTAAACTTCCTGTGTTTTTTTTTCCCTTTTCTAACTGGCAATACAAAGTAATGATGGAGTTATTGTTGAAATTTCTTGCTGATTTTTTTAGGTTCACAGCAGAGTTGCTATGACTCCTTTGTGCAGAGCCATGAATCAAAGAGAAAATAAAATGTATGAAGGAGTTGCAGTCATGCTCAATTTGCTCCATTCTGATCACATCAAACTTCTATGGAGTATAGCTTGTAATCTGGTACAGGTTTGTGAAGATCCTGCGACTAGTGTGGAAATTTGGATCTGGGGTAGAATCAAGCAGCTCCTTCATATGTTACAGGAGTAGGTTTTCAGTCCTCAATATCGTGGCAATTGTACAAGACTGTTTGTTCTTTTAAGATATATTTGACCAAGCACTGTTTGTTCTTTTAAGATATATTTGACCAAGCCCTGTTTTATCAAATAGCATCTTTGGCTTGTTCAGTTGTTTGTAATACCAGCAAAATTTAAAAGACTATTTAGAACATAATGAATAATCAATATTTTTTCCAGCCTTTCATGTTTCATATCATAAGGCATTTTTCATATTTTTAGTGTATAAACTAAATAATTAATAAGTCATAAATATGGCATTACTTTCGATTTAGTTTTCCTATTAATCAGACACCTATTTAGTGAACTAGAATTGCGAATATAATTGATGAACATGATAAAGGAATTTTCTGTTTAAAGGCTTGTTTGCTTTTTTAAAGTGTATTAGCTAATTTAGTGAAATCATACAAATTTTCAGAACTTTCAGAATTGTTAACAAAGACATATTAAGCCATTTTTAACACTGCTACTTGATTTTTTTTTTTCTTTTTCTTTTAGGGAAGGCTCATCTGACCCTTATATCAAACTCTTCAGCTGGAAGTTTATCTAGTGCAAATGCAGCAGAGACAATCCAGTATCATCATTTGTTAGATGAGCTAAGTCCTGATGGGATACAAGAAAATACTTTCTCACTTAAAGCAGGTAGGTTTATAAGGTCTAATACTCTATTATGTCTTTACATACACTTGTGCAAAAGGATTCAAAATATTACAAATTTGTAAATACTTACACCTGCTTTAGGGAGTAAAAGCATCAAATCTGATTTGTTGATTTTCAAATAAATGTGATACCAGCACTAATTTTCAAAAAATATGCTTTAGTTAGAAGGAAGCAAAGCATAAAGTATTTTAAGTGTCTGGGAATCATATGTATTTCTTCACCTGTAAAAACAGTGACAAAAAATTAGTTAGTTAGTTTTGTGTTTAGCATGAAATTATTTTTATTTGATCATATATTTCTTCACTATTTAAATTTCCTATGATAGATCAATATGAATCATATGATTTCAAAGTGGTATTTTAATAACTTCTAGTCAGGTGAGGATTCATTTTTAGTTATGGAGCAAATTCCTTTTGGAGGAGATTTCTCAATAGAGTCAAATGGCCCTAAATGTTAATTATGAATTTTTATTCTAGCTTGTTGTGCTGCAGTCACTGAACTGGTGCTCAGTGAGACTACTGCTTTCCAGACTGTACAGGTAGGAAGATTTTATTCAGTTAAGTAAGGCATTATAGTTTATAATTTCACTTAATTGTTGTTCTTTGTTATCATAATTTAAGAGTTTGGAAATATGCCTGTCTATAACTTTAGTACTTCTGTTTCTTTATCATTTTACACACAGAGATATAGACACAAAGGTTATCAACATAGGTGTCTGGAAGAATAAACAGCTTTATTCAGACAAGGTTCATTTTGGCATCTCTTACCATGCTTTTGTCATATTCAAAATAGGATAGTAAATAATCACAGAATAAACTGAGAAATGCAAATTCTGAATTTCTTGACATTTAGTACAAAAAACTATGCAGCTGAAAATTGACATGTTGCTGTTTCACAAATTATTTCTCTTTTCGTAAGTGTGGTATTTCTGAGAGAACTTCCTGGCATTCTATCTTCAGGGATAAGCCATTCTTAAAATCCCTGGTTGTATTCCAGATCTAGTCAAATATATAAATATTAAGGGCATTAATATCAGCTAAAAGTTGTAGCCAGCTGTTAAACTCTAAATGTTAAATCAAAGCCTTCAAATTAGCTTAAAACCCAACTAGAGGTATTCTTGGAGGAACTGAGAGAATAAGAACCTTAATTATGAACAGGAAAGAAGTTTGTGTATATTTCAAAACCATTGGTTAAGAGAAAATAAATGAAAGTAAGTATAGAAAAAAAATTATTTTTGTGCACCAGAATTGTTAATAAACTGTACTGACTTAGACAACTTTTATCTAAACAATATAATGATATATTTTAGGTTGAGTCTGATTTCAGTAAAATAAAATATCACTTGTTTAAATGAAATGGTTTTAATAGAGAGGTTTTCTGCATTGCCCCAGCACTGTATGGTGACTGTTGTGTCAGTAAATCACTTAAAAACTGATAGTACAATATGCAGAGCTGGAAAAGGTGGTTCAGACTTAACTTCTTCTGCTCTTTATGTTAAAAGACACCAACCTCTCCGTTTGTTTAAGCACCAGGCAACATCCCCCCTTTCAGATCAGGGCATAGCCACAAGCATGTTCATTTCCATTGGAGTTCCACCCTATAATATCACTGCAGTAATTTTAAATCCTACCTCTTTCTTTTTGCTAATATAACTTTGAGAGTTGCATAGTAAGCAAGGTGAAGCAACTCAGGAAAAAACAGAGGAAAAAGGTGTACAGCTTTTTCAGTTATATGCCAAAGAGGTCAATCTGAGTAACCTGTAAAGGTGTATATCATTGGTTTCAAAGGGGTCTTAGGAAGTTTTGCTTCTGCTGTAGCTGCTCTCTGTCTGTCTGTCTGTCCTCCATCCTGGTCACAGCCTTGGCAGCAGTCTGCAGTAATTCTGGTAGCAGACAGAATGTGTTGGACTCAATGGCTCCACTTAAGCGTAACCATGGTCTAAACTTAATTCTGCCTTCATGAGCAGTAGAAGGAAACATCAGGAACTGCAGAAGGGCCTCTGCAGAGCTGACACATATTCCCTTCAAGTCTGCTAAAGAGGAGAGTAGTCTCCACCAGGGACTTTGTCAAGTAACTGGGGGCAGTATTCCAACTAAATCTACTGGTGCCATCTATCACACCTACAAAGTGGATGGAGTAGTGGAGAATACATGGTTGCATGAAAATGGAAGCTGAATTCAGTGTGGTTTTCACAAAATCCTGAAAGCATGAACAGACTTCTCAGGCTATCACTTTTGGTGTTTCTCCAATTTATTTTTATTGAAACCTGAATTTTGTTCCTGGCAATTCAAAATATGGTGACAGAAGATCTATTGCTGCAATTTCCTTCACCTATAGAGACAGAAGCATTTCTTCTTTATATGTTCAGAGGCTCTCTTTGTAATATCAGTTTAAATGTAACAATGATTTGATTTTTATACATGTTAAAGCTTATATTTTAGGTGTGCAACAGGATGTTGAGAACTTGTCCATTGCTATTAGCTTCTGACTTATCTAAACATTGATTTTTATTTGTGGTTTGCATGCAAAGGGGCACTACTAATGCTAGCCTTTTTCTGTTTTCAGGCAAATGCAATATATACAATAGCAAAGCTAATTTTACCAGACAAAGAAAGGAATGCTGAAAAAGCCAGTTTATTACAGGTTTATTATTGTTGCACAATGAAAGCCACAACAGACCCTGAAAACTTTTTATGAATTAAAGTTTATTTTGAAGTACAGTACAAATAAATCAGATTTAGTAATCCCCTACCCCAAAACAACAAATAGCTCAGGAAGTGAAGGCTAAATAGAGACTCAATTTCTGTTTTGATTTACTTTGTTTCTGGCACCTCATATAGTGTAAAGCAAAGTCAATATTTTTCTTGTGATAGCTTCTATTTTTCAGGCTGTCTAGCATCAGATCTTCTTTATAGAGCCTTGATCTTCATTGAAACTCACCCTAGACTTGACACTCTACTAATATCTGTTTATTTCTGGAGTATTTTGCTATGGATGTTAAATAAAATACAAGAAGGCAGTGTATGAAATAGAGAAAATTTAAGTGTAGAATAAATAGACGTCAAAGAAGCATAGAATGGCTCTTGGTTTTGCACGTCACTACTCCCATAAATGTATGCATTTGAGTCAGCTTAGGCTAAAGGTTTTCAGTAGGAATTAATGACCTGGTAGCTTTTCTCAGGCTCTGTGCAGTAGTGTCTCTCTAAGACATGGGAATGTAGTGCTCAGGGGTTCAGGGATGAGCACAGCTGCTGCTGCTCCAGTTGGCAAAGTCCTTAGCACAGCTGAATGCATTCATGATGCAGCCTCTCATGTGATCTTTGTTCTGACAGAGCCCCTGAAATGGCTGTACAGCTACTCCAATATCCAATCAGGTAGGTGTGCTTGGTTAGCAAAGAAAGGTATTTCCACCAAAAAAAACCCTCAAACAAACAAACAACCCCCCTCCCCCCATTTCTAGTGTCACATTTCTCATCACAGTTCTTCTAGATTAGAATTGGAGGGCAGATTCAGTACACTAGATACCTTTCTACTGCAAGGAGGTTTTATAATGCACTTCATCTTAAGGATGAGGTAAATACAAGCCTTCCTGGAGGGTAGGTATATGGAACTAACATGCAGTCTAACAAACTGGAGCATATGCTCAATGTACTTGCCTCACATGGCTGTAAGGAGCTTAATTTTTGCCCAATGAGATTTTTAGGTTCCAGCAGAATGTGTTGGAAATAACTTGCAAGAGCTACTAAGCAGCCGTAGTTGGGTTTAGCATGAAGCCATATGAATTAATAATGGGCTTAATGATCACATATGAAAACTAGGTCTGTTTTGGACAAGAAGTATATTTTTATGAAACCTTGTTCAGCTTCTCACACTGCTACCTGTATTGCTTTTTAAAATGTTACTGGTGTGAAATACAGTTGCAGTTATTGGAATATCCTGTTTGAGTTTTACAGATATTTTTCTTAGAATACTTGCAATGGTGGTGTGGTTTCTCTACTGCCCCATTGTCTGTGTTTCCAATGATGAAATTTTCAGCTTCTTTCTGCCATGCTGCCTTAGTGATCTTAATTCATGACTGTTTTTGTTTGTTCAGCTATAAATGTGCCATATCATTGAGTCTTGACAAACAGAGGTAAGGATGAGTTGCATCAAAGCATACATATTAACCAGCTGCCAGTAGCTGTTTTAAAGAACTTTGTGTTGGAACTAAGGTTTATGGAGAAGCAGAGGTACATTAAGTTCTCTGAAAATATGACAAATTTGGGGTAAAAAAATTGAGTAATTTCTTATTTTCTGTCCCTGTTAGAATTTATGGTATCCCACACTGCATTTTTCAGGAAATTGCTTTTTTACTGCAACAGTACAAACCCATTGATTACATTTACCTTTTTCATCATTGGAGAAGAAAGCAGGTCTCAAGTCTTGAGCTATCTGTAAAGGAAAAGAAAATATCAAGATTCAGGTATGCCTAAATGTGCTGTAACTATTGTCACCACTTTTTTTTTTTTAATTCACTTGTTTTCCCCCATAAATGTCCTTGTGTACTTTTAAAATGCTGGAGAAACTTAATATGTTTTTATTACCTTTGTTATCAGGTTAATAAGATATTCTGTCATTTAAATACAAAGTTTGACAGTGTGTAAAGTATCAAGGGGAATCTTTGTTGTTTATCAGTGGCTTTTCCACATGTGTCATGAATCTCTCATTAACTGATGTGCTTTTCCTATTGTAGTGTTATGTTTTCAGAGCCCTGAGATTTCTCTTCAGTATGGAAAGAATCAACATATTTTTGAAAGGTATTTTAACCATATGTTTTGTGAAACTCTTTTAGGATAGCTATCAAAAGTCCAGCCAGAAAGAAATATTTTCTAAGTGCCATTTATTTTGTAATGGGCAATTTTTGTCATATCCACAACTACAGATAGTTTTCCCTGCATTGCATCCAGTGCCAGCCTGCCAGATTAGGTGTTCAGTATTGGGACTCCTGTTGTGTGCGTGCCAGACAACCTACCTCTGTGTGGGCTCCTTCTCCCCCCATCAATCAAGCCTTTATATATGTTGAGGACAGATTTAACACTGCTGGCAATAAACATACTTTTAAGATTAGCACATGCAATTCACAGCCCTGGACAGTAGCAATTAACTGGAAGCAAATAATTTTTTCCCCTGAGCCCTCTACTCCTTCACCATGGGTCTGACGTTGCATCAAGCTATTTTACTTAGGAGTGTTACTGAAAGGTTTGGATCAATAAGGACAAAATGTTTTCCATCAATTACATATTTTTACTAATAAGATGACCATTTCATCAGGTTGGCTACAAAGGCCATGTGATATCTTACAGTGAGATTTGTGGCATTAGAATAGTAATCAGAGTGTCTAGGAGGTCTGCCTGTCAGTACTGTTTCTGTATGTTTTTATTATGTATCATAAATTACTAAAATTCTATAGATGACTTTTGTGTTATTTTTAAAAAGTGGATATTTTACTGAAAGTGCCTCAGTTTATAATGACTTTTCATGGTTGGTGACAAATTTTTGAATAATCTGGACTAATTTACTGTCTTTTGATTTTTCCAAATGCCTAATCTTTTGTATTTCTACTTATTCCAGAAGTTTAAAAAGAAACAAAACTTCAGTCAAGCATCTAACTAATAAATATGACTAATAGATTGTTGCCTCTTTTCTGTCGGCCTTTGCTTTTCTTAGTCCTTTTCATTTTTTAGACTAGGATTCTTGGCCAAAACTTCTAAGATGGATGTCATGATTCTTTAAATGAAGAAAAATGTTAATCCTATCACTTAGTGCATTGCAAGAAGAAACTCAGATACAGTGATAACAAGCATAAAAGAAAGTACTGTAAGAAAAAAAGTCAGGTTACTGGAAATTTAGAAGGTGCATTACTTTCAAGACTTACAGTTGTTTGGAGAATTGGCATTTATATTAATACCCAGCCAATGGGGGCTGAAGTCTGATTTTTAAAAGGGGCTTTAACTCCTATGTATGTAGTGTTAGAGGCTTAATATCTTATTGCATTATTAAAAAATAATGGTACTATATAGGAGGTTCTGAAGTAAGTTTTAATAATAAACACTGAAAAGTCTCTGCTGTAGATTAATAGCTCCTGTGTACATTGCTTCTCAAAGATACAAGAAATTTTGCCCTTTTCTATATTTTTCTGTACTGACTTGTTTGAAATCCTTATTGATATTGGACATTATGTGCATGATATCAGAGCTCATGAAGGGTTGGTATCAAAGCTAAATTTGTTAAAGGTAAGTAAAACCCTTAAACCTTTATAGTTTTAAGTCATATTCTTGCACATTCTTAACACATGAAAGGCATAAAATATTTTAAATTTATTTATTTGTCATTTAAGTTATGACTATGAGGATATATTGAAGCAAATCACTGAAAGTATTGAGAACATGAATAAGGCATCCACAAAACATGTAGGAAATAATGCAATTTTAGAGCACATTGGCAGTGGAGCTCCTGGAAGTGTATATAAGGTACACTTTTGATATTATTTTACAGATCTGAGGGGAAACTTCATGAAGAAGGTCTAATACCTGTTCTGGGCACAACTGTCCTTTGAATTTCAGTTGGGAAATGTAAATGTAAAAAGGCTTTTGAGGATCTGAGCTTGTTGTTAGTGTTTGCTGTGATTTTGTTTGTTCCATGTTGTACTTTTGAGATTGATCAGTGTATTTCTTAGGTTTCCTACCTTACTTTCTCTTAATTCCTTTCCACTAACAGCATTTGTCTATTGCAAATACTAATAAATCTGAGTAAAACCACAAAAATTCAAGTATATTTCATCTGAAAAGCAACACTGGGCACAGATAATATTGGTTCAAACACAATGCAAGTTCAGAAGTGTACTGCTAACCTGTACTGTTGGATTGTAAATCTTCTACTAATCACATTATACACAAAAAAAAAAAATCTGATTATATATTCTGTGAGAAAGGTTTGGACTCTGATAAATAATCTGGTAGCCATAATACCATTCTTCCTATCCCCATCCTATATTTATTGTACAAAGATTTTGCCTTGTTTATAGGTTAGAAAACATAACAGACAAAATCTCCTGACAATTAAAGAAGTCAATCTAGCATTTGGAAAGGAAAAAAAAAAAAAAGCAGGTGTGTCTCATGAACTCTAGTCTGATATGCTAGCAGGAGTGTGTCAAATTTGAGCAATAATCTTTCTTCCAGAACTACTACAAGTTCAAACAGGCCTATACCCCTTTAAAATTAAAAAAAAAAAAAAAAAGAGAAATAGTATTTGTATTTGTTTATCTATCAGTAAAACTAGATGCAATGTAAACACGTAGCAAACATCATTATTCTTCTCTAAAGATCGAAAATGTACAACTGAAATGCTAAATAGGTAGAAAAGTCAGTAGTAGAGTGAATGATACAGATTATCATTATAATTATCTACATATACCTGCCTGCTGAGTCATTATCAGGCAGTGGTTTCCCTATAGTTCTGTGATATAAATTGAGGAAAAAATTGAATAAAAAAGAGCAGAACTAGATTAAGGTGTATCTGTCTGTACAAATGCAATTTTTAAAGAGTAAAAATTAACAGCTTTTAAAATACATTTTTTACCTCAAATACTCTATTTTAAAATTATTTCTGTATAAATATAATGTTCTATTAATTTCTTTCATGAGATGACAGATTTTCATGGAGTTCATGGAGTAGGTGCCATTGGGAGAACACTTTCAGTCTTTGAAGGAAAAGCAACAAGTTTGCAGAAGACAGAACATGGCATATATTTATCCAAGCAAAGGCCTCCTTGGATCCTTCCTTTTGCCAGGATTTTCCTGCATGTAATTAGTAGCAGCAAGTTTTTAGGCTAATAAATGTTGAAGTAATGCTTATTATATCAATCACTAATAAATATCTGTGAATTTAATGTGTCTTTATTTAGATTGGAGTTAAGAATCTTTGTGAGGCTCTTTCTGTTTGTTTTTAAGCTTTGCCTAGCTCTTCATTATTTGCATAAAGAGAAAAGGATTGTTCATTGAGATCTCACTGTGAACAATGTCATGTTGGGGGATAAAGACGAAGTTACAGTTATTAATGCTTGAAGACAATTTCTCAAGATGTACCTGAGAAGCATTTCTTTACTGAAACTCTGAGAAGGTTTCAGATTCCTGGGTGTTGGTTATCATTCTTAGAAGCTAGTAAATTATTGCATTGTTATACTGTTGTGTGAAATCATTGAATCACAGAATGGACTGAACTGAAAGGGACCTTAAATATAATCTATTTTCAATGCCCTCCATATCAGGTTGCTCACAGTCTCATCCATCTTGACCTTAAACACTTTCAGGGATGGATGACCTGTTCTAGTACCTGACCACTTGCACAGTAAAGAATTTTTTCCTAATATCTAATCTAAACCTACCCTTCTCCAGTTTGAAACCAAACCACTATGTGCTGTTGTTAAAAGTCCTTCTCCATGTTTCTCAGAGGTTCCCTTTGGGTACTGGAAAGCCATTATTAGGTCATCCCAGAACCTTGTCTTTTCCAGGCTGAATAAACCCAGTTGTCTCAGCCTCTCCTCACAGGCTCCATCCCTCTGATCGTCTTGTTGGTTTTCCTCTGGACTCACTCCAACAGGCTGATGACCTTCCTGTGCTGGGTATCCCAGAGCTGGCGGTGGCACTGCAGGTGGAGTCTCAGCAGAGGGAAGCAGAGGGGCAGAATCTCCTCCCTTGCCCTGCTGCCCACGCTGCTGTGGATGCAGCCCAGGAGACGTTTGGCTTTCTGGGCTGTGAGTGCCCATGGCTGGGTCATGTCCTCTCACCCACCAGCACCCCCAAATCCTTCTCCACAGGGCTGCTCTGGATCTGTTCATCTCCAGCCTCTGCTGATACGAGGGATTGCCCTGACCCAGGTGCAGCACCTTGCTCTTGGTCTTGTTAAACTGCGTGGGATTCCTGTGGGCCCATTTCTTGAGCTTGTCCAGGTCTCTCTGGATGGCATCCCCCTCCTCCAGGTGTGCCAGCTGCACCACTCAGTTTGCTGTCATCTGCAATTTGTTTAGACTGATCCCTCAATCTATGTCATTAATGTATATATTAAATAACACTGGTCCCAGTATGCACCCCTGAGGGACACTACTTGTCACTGGTGTCCACTGGGACATTGAGCCATTGATCACTACCCTCTGAATGAAACCATCCAACCAATTTCTTATCCATCTAGCAGTCCACTCATTAATTACTGTTGTGGGGAACCATGTCAAAGGCTTTTCAGAAGTCTTGATAAATGACATTTGTAGCCCTTCCGTTGTCTACTGTAGTCATTTCTTCATAGAGAGTCGTTAGGCTGGTCAGGAAGGACTTGCCCTTGTTGAAGCCATGCCGACCATCTCAAATCACCTCCTGTTCTATGTGAGCCTTAGCACAACTTCTAGGAGGATCTGTTCAATGACCTTCCCAGGCACAGAAGTAAAATAATTGCTAATGCAAATTTTGTGTCGTCAGCCATGGCTATATTTTTTTGCTGCTATGGATGGTAAATATGATGGAGATGATTTAGCCTTAAAACATTTAAACTATAGTTATGCTTCAAGGTCTGGTTTTATTTAAATTAGCAAGAATATTGAAATAACCAGATTAGAGAACAAGTGCTAATGAACATAAAAAGTATAACAGCTGTCTGTTCTATTCCAGTTCTGCCATGAAATTGTTTAGCATCCTTCAGTTGTTCCCAGATCAGCTGCAGTGAGGTGCTATTTGTATAAGTCTGTAGTAGTGAATATTCTTGATGTATGCTTATGTAATCCCCACAGTGTGGAGGAAGGAACCTAGGCAGGTTCCAGGACAGATTTTGAAAACAATATGTGTGTGAGCAGTACAAAGCATGGCATAGTTTTAGTCTTTGAACAGATTAATACAACCTGGTATACACAGCAATCCTTCCAGGCAATTCACATCCTGTATTTTTCAAAGTTCTCAAAGAACTACTGTATGTTTTCTTGCTGCTCATTACACAGAAGAAAACAATTTGAATGCTGCAGAATTGTTGTGAGAAGTCTTTATGCAAAACTCCATCTCTCTTCTTTAAATATAGCAGTAAGCTGTAGACACACACACACACCCATCCACAAAACACTCAGACATAAGTATTTAGCAACTGGTGTTTCATAGTAAATATTTTTACCTCATGATCTACATATTTAAATTTATTCATTATAAAATTGTATGTGCTAAATCCCCCCAGATTCTTAATAATGATGTAGTTTTGAAAGGATGTGATTTAATGGTGCAATTGTCTTTCAGTAATGAAAATAAATATTCCAAATATGTTTTTTAAAGTCTCATATACTTGTATTTTATATCAACTACTGCCACTGAGGGGCACTCTTGTCTCAACAACCTTTCCTTATCTTTAATCCATTCTAAATATGGAGAAGTCTAAATGTACTTTCAAGTATAAGCTCAAAATTTCCCATGAAAAGCATTTATAGTTCTCTTTAGATTTGAAGATCTACAGGAGTTCAGAAAATTGGAAGAACAGAAACTTATTTGGATAATTTCTACAGCAATTAGTTCAAAACTATTGCAGTATTTAAACAAACCCTCATTTTATTTAGTCCTACAACTAGTACCTATTGAATCTTTGGGAAGAGCTGAAGAACTTTTATCTATTGTTTCTGAATTTTATTAAGCCTTGCTTTTTTGCAACCTTAATGAAATTAAGACCAATTTACTTTATCTCTGATGATAGTTAATATGTACTTTATAGATGCATGCTGTGGTATTGTTCTAACTCATACATGTGTATGCCAAAGACTGGAGCATTTGTGGTCTTAATGATTATGTCTCATAAGAGTTGAGGATAAATGTCCTGTCCATTTAGTCCATTTGAAGTGTTCTTGGTGAAAGTTTGAACTGATTTTGGTTGGAATAGAGTTAATTCTCTTTCTTGTAGATGATGCAGTGCTGTTTGGAATTTAGTATGACAGTAATGTTGGTAACACATTGAGGTTTTAGTTGCTGCTGAGGAGTATATACTCTTAAGCCAAGGATTTTTCAGTTTTCCAGGCTCTGCCAGCAAGGAGCAGCACAACAAGCTGGGGATGGGGAGTATATCCAGAACTGACTTGAACTAGCCCAAGGGATATTGCATACCATGGAATGCCATCCCCAGTACATAAACTGGGGCAAGTTGGTCAGGAGGTGCCAATGGCTGCTCTTGGACTGGCTAGGCATCTTTCAGCAGGTGGTAAGCAACTGCAGTGAGTATTTATTTTTCTTGAATTTTATTCTGCCCTACCTTCTTTTAATTACAAATGCTATTAATATTATAATGAGTTATAATACTGTAATACTGGAATATTATATTATTTTATTTTGTTTCAGTCATCAAACTGTTTTTACATTGACCCATGAGTTTTATTGCCTTTTTTTGCGATTCTCCTTCCTGTAGAGAAGGTGAGAAATTGAGTGTGTGGTGCTTAGTTGTTGGCTGGGGCTAAACCATGACAAAGTTACAACAAAATGTCAGATGCATGTGAAGCATATGCTAAAATGCTGTGAAATCTCTGAATTGAATTTATCCTGTCAGCTTTTTAAAAAGAGAAGGTCTGCTCTAAGATCTACTAAAAACTGTATTTCTGCATTTACAAGCTGCACACTGATCCTAAATAGAGAGAATTCAATTTTCTGGAGTCTTTCAAATCTGAAAACTGTCCTAAACTTGCCTTGATCTAACTAGAGTAGTGGACTACCTGTGAAGCAGTGTTGTGTGACTGGGTAAGTGGGATATGGCTGAAATTATTTTGCTTTATAAAAGAAACGTATAATACTACTCTATTTTCCTCAATCAGTCCTTCTGGAAATAGTAACTCTTGTTAATCTCTTGCTATGAGAATCTGCAGGCTGACAGTTTAACAAAGCAGATCATTCATCTGTAACTAATGTTGTTAAAAAATATTGTCTTTAGAGAGGTGCCTTAGTTTCAGACTCTTATGGTATATTTTGATTAAAAAAATGTAGTGAAGTGATTAATACACTTGAGAAAGACCTTTTAGAGATTCAGATTTAATTCTACAACAGCCATACCAATGGACTGCCTTAAAAAAATTGGTCTCACAGGCATTTCATCCCATCTATATGAGAATGGGACCACTCACATTCCCAATCCCTTGATGATCTCTTACAAAGATTCTGCTTTTAAGTTGGTTGAAAAGGATAGGAGTGCAGAGTGGGAGACACTCCCACCTTGCTGTCAGAGTGGAAAAAAAAGAAACCTGCTAAAGAATTATGATTTTTTGTCCTGGATTCATGGATAAACATTCTACAGATGGCCCTTGTAGAACAATTCCAGCATAACTTGGTAGGCAGGGGCCTATGGTGAAAGAAAACAAGAATTCATACAAAGAAATCTGCAACTGGCCTGGCACAATGCAATATTAAATTTGAGGGGCCTCTTCTAGGGGTGGTCTCTGAATGACATGTCTTTCTGGATATCAGGTCTTACTGAATACTGAATATCATGTCTTACTGAAAAAGAAATACCTGAGATAATACCTCACGCTCTGGTGAGATCTTACCTGAAGTTCTGTGTCCAGCTGTTGGGTTCTCATCACAAGAAGTACATGGACCTGTTCGAGTCAATCCAAAGGTTATGAAGAGGATTAGAGCAGTGGAATACCTCTCCTATGAGGAAAGGTTGAAAAAGTTGGGATTCAACCTGGAGAAGAAGAAGCTCTGGGGGAAACTTAGAGCACCTTTCTGTACATAAAGAGGACTATAAGAGAGCTGGAGAAGGACTTTTTACGAGAGCCTGTAGTGGCAGAACAAGGGGATATGTCTTCAAACTGAAAGAGAATAGACTTAGATTCAATACAAGAAAGAAATTCTTTACTGGGGGGTGGCGAGGCTCTGGAATCAGTGAAGTTTTGAATGCCTCACTCTTAGAAGTATTCAAGGTCAAGTTAGACAGGTCTCTGAGCAGCCTGGTGAGTGAAAGGTGACCCAAGCCATTCTATGACAATAGTATGAAGAATTTTTGAATATTTACAGTCACACTGTTTTCTTTTTCTTAAGTAATGTATGTGGTTAGATACTTTCTTTATTCAGATCTTTGTTTATTGTTTTGTTTTTAAACTTATGCTAGACAGAAATGAAAGTTCTAAGCCCAGGAGGTGCTTCATTCTAATGTGAAAATTGTATAGCTTTTTTGTATTTCCCAGGACATCTTTTACACATGTCAATTAAACTTGAATGATCCAATCTTTTTCACACTCTTTAAAGTTCTGCCTTGTTGTAAATGTAAACAGACATTTACAATCTGATCCTAGTCAGGCTGTTTCTGACTATAGAGAACTTTAAGCATGTTGTTGTTTTGCAGACTCTAGAACTGCCCACCCTACTCCTTTTCTGTTTAATTTCTGACATAAATTCCATAGGAAGGGGTCCATAACTACCATTTCATATGCTGGTACATCATTTAGTCATAATTGATTGAACTACCAATGCTATGAAAATACAAATATTAAATCATGCCAGCCTGCAATTTCATAGGATGTCTCATTTTAAATTTATAGAAAAGTATTACCAAAACTGTACATCTCTGGTCAGACTGAAAATCTGATGTATTGTGTCAGACACACACAAAAAAAAGTGGAATTTTAGGTACAGCCTGTTGAAAGTTGTTTTGTTTATAGAGTTTTAGAGATTAATTGAACCAATATTATCTGTGGCTTTCCTTTTAATCTGCCTAGCCTTTTTATATAAGACATTGAGAAGTTACAGTTCTAAATTGAAAATGTGCATCTGCTTTTATTACAGCTCTACTTTACTGCAGCTGTATTTTGGTTCTAGCACAGTGTATTTCTGTCTAGAGCTCCACAGCTGCATCTGTTTGTAGGACAAAACAGAAGACTCTGTAGATCATCACTTTTCCTCAGTGTCATTTAGTTGAAGCAAGGTTTAGACCTTGATGGTTGGAGGGCTGTGTGGAATCACTTGGGCACCTTTCAGAGCTGATATCAAGGAGTATTGTTTAGGGTACCCTACTCTGTTTTAGGAAGCATATTCTGTTTAATGTTTTTTACATATGATAAAATAACAGCTGGAAAGATCTGTGTGGGTCTGAACCTAGGATTATATAGCAGCAGAATGCTTGTTTTGAGACAACTCACCTGTTGGATAAACTTCTAATCATAGCAGGCAGCTATGGAGGGTCAGAATGGTTAATTGAATGTGACTTGGAAAGTTCATAGAGTTTCTGGGTACTGGAAGAAAGCTCCCTGTTAGTTTTGTAATTCAGAATGTTTCCTTGTGTGCATTGTATAAAACACCAGTTTGCTCTGTATTCTGTTCCATGCCCAGAGAAGCAGTGGCCATTAGATAAAGTGGATCTAACCAGTGTCTGTTGTATTTTAGTTACTGCTCAGATTCACTTGAATCAGTCAGTGCTATTTTTTTAGCATATTACATGTCTCATTTAACTAATATTCATAATCAGAATTTCTACCCTTCACACTGAGGTTCAAGGAAGTCCTTGTAGTACTTTAAAGTTGTTTTCATAATAGGCTGAGTGGAATCTTCTACTTTTTTATATTCACATTATAAATCAAACATTCTATAAATTGTTGGTGGATTAATAGCATGATCACATCTTTCCACAAATCTCAGTTCTAGATGTGGTTCCTAGTGCAGAAGTTACAAGCTTCACAAAATTAGTAGTAGATTATTTACAAAGCATTAATAAAAGCACACAGAAAGAAAAATGATAGAATAGCTAAATTATTTCTTTGAGAATGAGAAGTTAATTCTGTTCACATTTTATTGATAGGGAAAAGTAGAATAAGTATGTACTATTGTTGTGTAAATTGCAAATTATCTTGATTTTAGCATATTTGTAATAGAAAATGAAGTTCTACTTTTATACTCCAAATCATTGTACCTCAGTAAGTTGCCAACAAACCTGTTTGACTACAATTGCAAACTTGCTGAAGAGAAACAAAGGGTTTTTCTCTCATCCCAAACCTTCAGGGTAGAAGAAACTGTTCAGTGGGTACACAGTGAAAATCTGATGTGAGCAGGTCTGAAGTTCATATAAGGGGTGAATTTGATACTCTGTTAATATTATTTTTTTGCTGTGCTTTTGGTCTTTGTGTATTTGCTTTTAGAATAAATTAATGGCATTTTTTAATACTGTTCAGATATAAATTAAGGCAACAGACTTGCAAATATGAAGTCAGTGATGTTAAGTTGTATCTGGGTAAGTTTTGTCTTGTTTACACTGCAGAAAAATTTAGAGAATTTTGGGAAATTTAGAGAATTTTGGGAAATTTAGAGAATTTGTGGAATTTTGGGACATTTCAGCAAATAAAAATCCAGATTCTCTTAATAAAAATAGTAAAAAAAACATTGTAGGTATCTAAAATGCTCATTTGAAGAGACTGCTAAGACTTAGGATGTTTCTGTAATTTGGCTATCATAAAAATTGCAGAGACCATTCAGTAAGAGGTTAAGATACTAGACACGTCAGCCTACTCCTATTTTCATAGTTCTGTCTTTCCTTCATGCCCTCTTCCACAGATTTTAATCTTTATTGAAACCACCTTGCTTCATTATCACTTATTCTGCAACCCTAAACATAGTGTAAACAAGTGAAAAAAGTGAAGGAGGGTGATCAGAATCTAAAAGCTTATGACTACATCATATTGTTTTAATTTTTCTATCTGTTTGAGGAGTCTCTTGTATTGTTGTTTGACTATTTTTAAATAAATTTTAAATTTTTAAAATAAAACTAATTAATAGGGATCACCTTCCTGTTTGGTCATATCTTCATTTAATGATACATGAGACATACATTTAATGATGCAGTTCTCAGAAGTTATTTCATTTGTTTGTTATTGTAGCAACTTTTGGCATCACATACCAAATAATCATGGAGTATTAAAAGTTGTAGACCTATTTATTTATTTATTTATTAAGACAAATGCTTAAATAAATTAAAAGAAGCAATCTCAGTAGTTTGCAGTTAAGCAGTTGGCAGTTCTTTTTCATTTGAATCTCTATTATAGGCTTGAAAAAGCTAAGGGAAAAAAAAAATGCTAAATGCACAGCTGATTGTCCTGGGCTTTACATTCTTTAGCTCTGGCAGCACCATTTGTATGTAGGAGTTTCTTGTTGGTATCAATAAAGTTTAGCCAAATTTGGAAAAAGTAATTGCCAGTGAAAGATTTTTATGCCTCCATATCTGAGGACCCAAGCTTAAAAAGAAGAGAATATATTTACTCCATCTGGTGATTTTTCCCTTGCTTTCTTTCTTTTCTCCAGATAATCACTCATGTTGTATTAAAATAAACTACTATTTCCAGAACTGAGATTTTCAGCTCGCTCTTTCTTTTATTAAATCTCTCAACAGGAACTGAATTTATGGATTATTGTAATGTCTCAATACTCTTCCTTCATCAAATATTATTTGAAGAATTCTAAAGGAAGGAATTTAGAATGATTCAGCCCAATTAATTCAGGGAAGTATCAACACTGCAAAAATCTCTGGTCTTATGGGGATTAACATTTCTCATCGTGAACTGCCTAAGGACTGCCTTAACTCAAGGGAAAAGGGAGGCTTCTTGGTTATCCTGTTAATTTAGCAATCTTTCTACTTACATTTTCCAAGCACTGCAGAGCTAGTCCTTCTTTGGACATTTTGTTCAAAGAAAAATGATCTGTGACTTGAGTGTCTAGATTTGGCTTTCTTATCAAAGGCCCTTTCTGAATTAAAGAACTGCTCCTTTTCAGACCCTGAAGGCTTGCACTGAGCAAGAGCCAACAGAAACTATTTTTTCCTACCTGCATTTCTTCTCATCTCCAGCTTCTTTTGATGGGAAGTAACAATTTGAAATAAAATTTTTATGAACTGTGTCACAGTAAAAGCAATTGGAATAGGCGTGCTATGGGCTCTGTCCAAGTAGAACAGAAGTTCTTAGAATATTTTAAACATTTTAACTTAATACTTAGAAGGTGAATCTTCTCCTGAAGTAGCATTGCAATACAAAAATTATTAACAGGATTTATGAAGTACAGTAATGTTTTCTGCTCTTCGTGCTTGAACTTAATGAAGTGTGATGTGTCTTAGCTGCATTGTTGTGTGGAGGCAGCAGTAGAATACTGAATTATAAAAAACAAACTTGAACTGTTTGCATGGAACTTGGATTAAAAATATAATCTGTAAAGACTGTGTGACATTTCGTGAAAGACTACCTGATAATTTCATAAGGCACTTATATTAATATAATTACATGATCATCTAAATCTACAGCTTTTTTCACAAGGTAAGGCTAAGATTCACCATTACTTCTTACAAAATTCCATCTTTGAACATGAACTATCAAGTTATTAGATCCCCCCCACCCCATGCTCCTTTGAAATTAAATTTCTTGGAAAGTCCACCCTTCCCAACTGTCATAATTTCAATGAGAGAAAAATAATTATCATAGATTTAGATTATTAGAGATTAGTATGAGATCACTGCTTATTAGATATGTAGCAGTGTCATACAGTTTATTGAAATATATTAATAGAAACCTGAAACTGGTCATATAGTTTAGATTGACACCATCAGAAGTGTGCTTATATAAAGAAGATAGGCCTAATTCAATTGTAAGTTGCTGATAAATGTGGCGATAAAAAGATAATATGGCCCAGTTCTGTGAAATGTAAAAGACAAAAATCCCAAATCTCCCTTCCACCCTCCCTCAGCTTTTCAGCTGTTGTGACTGAGCACTGATTGTTATGCAGAGGAGGTGGCTATTGAGATGTGAATATTTTTGTCTCTTTTTTTATTATTGTAGCTGACTTTGTGCTTGCAAAGTGAAGGCAAGAAAACAGCAAACTTGCCTCAGTAGTGGGAACCATCCTATACTCACAGTAAGTACTCCTGCATGTAACTTTTAGTCCAGTAACTTCCCTTGTCATGGTTACCCTTGGAGCAGACAGGAAAGTTGCAATGGAATAAGGAACAAGGTGCAAGTCACAAGCTATTCTGCAATAGTTGGTTGCTTCCCTATTTTGATGTTGCCTATTCTCAAAACATGGTGGTTACTGTGGGTTAAATTGGTGAAAAAAAATTAATGAACTGCAGTAGTGTAGTAACTTATTCATCTATATATAGAATATCCTTGCAGATAAGGAAATATGTGTTTAAATTATAAAAAGGTGTGTGTAAACAGTATCAATTACCACCACCACATGTGAAGGCTTTACACCTGTGAGAATGTTTGGCCTGCAGCTTGTGATAACTAATTAAAAGGTCCAAGCCATGAGGGGAGCTACTGGTTGCTCCTCTGAATTAAGGGTGAGTCAAGAACTCAGGCATTTGGCAGTTGAACAGAATTCATTTTGCCATTTTTGATATTGTAGCTTGTGAATTCCTAGTACCAGAAAGATAATGATTGAGACTCATTCCCTAGAAATCCCTAAATCCTAAAATGGCTTCAAGAGTGAGACCTTGTAATATGTTAAGTATTCAAGTCACATACCTTGGAAGACTAATGATTATAGTTTTTAGTGACCAAAGGTAAGGGGATTGCAAGGCTGCCTTAATTGATTATCAAAATATTCCTGAAGCATTGCACAGTCTCTGAGTGACACTGGATCTATGAGTGATAGTTTGGATATATAAAGTATCATAAGAGTTTGGTGTAACTAGTTATCTGTCATCTTTTTCAGCTTCTCTGAAATAATAAATTTGTTTTGTTCACTTACAACTGGGAAGAGAAGCTGTTGATGAGAATTTATTCTGTTCTTTTAAACACCGATTTAGAAATAGAGGTGTCAGAGGTGCCAAAACCATGCTTCCATGGTCCTCAGGCTCACTGAATTGTAATTTCTCTTATCCCATCTACATTTATTTCTTCTTTTTCCTTTGTTAGATGTCTATTTGGTTGAATGATATCTTTTGGGGTTTTAATATTTTGTAGGAAATTTTTGTTTGAGAGTAGTGTTCTATAGATTTAAATATTTTTTAAAATATAATTTTTGCTTATACTATATTTATTGTTACTCTCATACCCTGTCTTTGTACATGGAAGTTCATATCAGAGCTAGAACTTTGGCAGGTCTTTTTCTACCTCTTTACCCAGTTATTTGGATGCAGGATTGAGGATAAAATGTCCCTTACATCTTGCAGTCTCTCAAGTAAGTGGTCTTTTGGGACATTACTTGTCAGTTCTACTCCACAGGCAAAATCATGGAAGCAGTGATCCTTGTCTGTCTGCAGTCAGAAAAGAGAGCAAGGATACAGTACAGTTGTCTTTGTATTTAAAATATATGCTTGAGTAATATTTAAAATGACAAGCTAAGATATTAGTCTTTCCAATGTCATAATAATTTAAGAATGCTAAACAGGCTTTGCAAACAGCACCATGCACTGGAGGCCACCTTCAAGGTGCTTGGTTAGTTCTGTGTGTGACAGTGAGCTTTTTGAAAGCCTGTTCACAAGGAATAAGATGAACTGACAGAGTATTTTAGCACAAGTCTTGAAGGAGAAATCAGACCCTATAGGCTTAAGCCGTGCTTTGACTAGACTTTTTTAGTGGGGCTTTTTTGTATGACTTAAGTAGATGTTAAAGGCTATTAAAAATCAAAAAATTAGGACTCCCTACCTATCAATGCACAAAGAAACCTCCCAAAACAAAAAGAGAAAGAGATGTGAGAGATTGTTATCATCTTAGAATGGCAGAAATTATTTTCTTCTGAATTGGCAGGTAGGTAATAGTTTCAAGTAGGATGAGATGCAACCCACCCTTCTTAGAGTGGACAATATAGTGCAGAAACAAAACAATAAATGTCAAAAGTAGCATTTGATGCTTATTGTTTAAATTTGACTAAGCAATGTTATGCAGAATGGTTCAGATAAATGATTACTGTATGTACCAAACATGTTTGTATTTGGGCTTGACTGAATCAATTTGCTAATGCAATTTTTCAAACCTTGTGTCATCATAAAATAACCGCAGACACTGTTTTTGTTTAGAGAGGGGCTTATATAATTATGCTTTGTAATTGTGATGGTTTTTAATTTTACTTCATACAAGGTTGTGTTCTACTATCACACTAATTGAATCCCTTTTAATTGGTTATCTTTCTGAACTAAAAAATCCAGCAATGTGTGTGTTTAGAATACCAAATATATTAAATGGATGTGTTTAACTTAATACATTAAAAGTTGAGGAATAGACTGCTTTAGGGAATTGGTAATGAATCCTGAAGTCTTTTCCCAGCTCATAAGTCACTGCAAACAATCTGCTCCAAGTTAGTGATGACAGTCTTTATTATTGTGCTGTCTCAAAGGCTTTCCCAGAAAAGACACAGCGATTGTCTATGGTTATAGAGAATTATGTTTCCTTTCAATTATACCTTCCATTTCTTTGTTTCAAAAAAAGGATTGTGATTTAGGAAGAGTGGATATATTGCCAGCAGATCAAGAGATGTATATAATTGTATATGTATAGAGACAATTTAGATGAACTCTGGGAAATTAAGTTAATTTTGAGATTGGATAGAATAGAGAATCCATCATAATTGCTTGAGAACTTGACTGATCTTTAAAAGCTGTGGAGAAACTATGAGTAGATCCCTCAGGTGTAATTAAGAAGCAGACAAGAAAGTTCTACATTAGTTGGCGAGCTAACTTGGTCTTTATGAAACAAAATTGTTTTTAAATGTTAGAAAAATGATGCACAGAACATTGTTATTTATTTATTTATTTAGCTTTTTGTGCTAATGTTGGGGAGTTTTCTTGCTGTGGTGTTTTGAGGAAACTCCCATTTCAGTGGTAATTTGAGATATTATTTTACTCTTCTCTGCTGTGGAGGATAAAATATTCCTCAATCTTTATTTCTGTTTATGGACTACACACTCTGTCTGTATACTGTTATGTTAACCAGATTTCTTTTCTAGTAGTGATCACCACTTTGTTTATAACCATTTCTTGTGAGAGCATTGCATAAATCAATATTCTGGTATGATTTCTCATGTAGTGACCTGCAGTAGCTGCATTGCTTATTGTGGTGACATAATATTTTCACTTACTTAAAGTAGTTTTGTTTTGGGAAAGGTAATTTAAGATGAGGGAGTATTTTCATAAATACTTTATTTTTAGCCTTTATTATGCTATATGGGCAAACTGATTATGAGATTTCCCAACAATACTTTTCTCCTCCAAAAATAGAATCTGAAACATTTCACCAATTTCAAGCAAGTTTGAGAGTTTAGGTTCTTTCGATGTTTGTGAAAATTTGGTGATGGGTATCAAGTAGTGAAACAATTCAATCTTGGTGAGAAAAGTTTTTAAATTCCGCTAAAATTTTCCAAATTTCCAAAATAAGCTGTAGTATACGCTGTCATTTAACAGCAGTTTGGTGTGTTTAGGTAACCAAGAGAATAGGGAACTGAAGGTACTGTGTAATGGTGAGGGGAAACAGAAAACTACTGGACAACTGGTCTTGTGCTAGTTTTGCCATTCATGGAACAGATGGCTCCTGGAGGGGATTTGCTGATTTGAATAGAAAGGTAACAAAAGTTAAATAATCCTTTCAGTATATCAATACTGACTTTTTTTTTATTTATTACCAGAGGGTCTTCTGAAAGTTGTTTAATACAAGTGTTTACTCTGAGAATGAAAGATAGCAATGAAATACATGAAAGTTTGGTTGTAGTGTAGACATAAGTTTATGTGTGTGAGCAAAAAGTCCAGTTCAATTGGAGATGGAATCCACAGGGAGAATATAGGTTGGACAGGCAGGCAATATGTGTGTAACCCACAGGACAGCTCTGTGTAGAACATTGCATTTCATTGTGGGCACGCGGTGACTAAAAAGACACCTGGATAAACCTCAAGGAAGAACATTATAAGTACTTGAGAGAGACTGCCTTACAATAAGGTGTTCAAATGATTTAATTTCATATAGTTTTTATTAAATAAGAAGATTGTCTAGTTTGCTGTCACCTGACATTTGAAATGTACTTAATATCATGTCCAGTGTGAGACAGCATTATACGTGGGAGTAAAACTGGAAATTATGTGAGACAAAGTTAGAAAGCATGAAGATATCTATATTTATCTCCAGAAAAATGTTCCAGTGGCTACTATACAGTTTTCACTATAAGAGATAACTTAATACTAGACAGGAGGAAAAGGAAAAAAAAATCTTGGACTAAAAGTAAAGCAGCCACTTTATGAGTAACATGGACTAGTCCATATTATATATTTTTCCTTTCCTGTGTAGAGTTTGCTTGAAAGTAGCTTAAAGTCATAACACAAGTTGTTTACATGAAATGGAATGTAAAAACAATTTTCTGTGCTTTTTTTCTATCAAGTGAGTGGTGCTGATGCAGATTCTAAAGAGTTACTTTAATGCTGAGGGTGGGGTGTTACACGTAATAATTTTATAGGCTACATGGTGACTTTATACCACTATCTTCAGGAAAAAAGTACTGTTCTACTACCATAATACATTATGTATTAAATCAACAATGTCCTTCTTGGAAATAGTTATTCTGTAGAACTTATATAAGTTCTACAGTAATTATTTTAATCTATAATAATGATTATATTATTATCTCTTTGGAAGAGATAATGAATGAATACTTTTAGTAGAATAAGATTAGTCATTTAACCAGACTAATTTATCATCTTGTAAATGTCTTTTGGTCCAATGTTGCTGGCATTTGTTTGCTGGAATTCTTCTTTCATTTTTATTTTAAGTAATGTTAAATGATCTACATTAAGATAAACCATGTTCTTAAGACATCTGAACTGCAGGATTTAGAATAGTTTTGGTGAGTTTATTTCTGCCTTTCCCATTCTATTCTATATTCAAGATGTTAGCTGTATTAGTATCTTGGCAAATCCTTACTATTTCTAA